AGAATCCCCATCTTTGAGGGAGATGAATTTTGACTCTCCATGATTATTGACCAGGAGCTGCCTGTCAGATCAGGGACAGCAAATCAATTGTACTTCATGGTCCTTCTAATGTAAGCTTCATGATACTTTTTGACATGATAATATTGTTTCACAAAAAGGAAAGCCTATATATCATTGCTTTTCTAAACGAAAATAATTCATTGTTAAATAAGAATTTAGGTATACTCTCCATAAACAATTATCAGTGGAAAAATATAAGTGAAGGGAATGTATAAGTGACTGCAAAAAATGAAAATGGAGCAAATTTTAAGCCATCTTGCAAGGCATTTTAGCTCCCTCAAGTTGTCTCTCAGAGGATACTACTGTTGACTGAATGCACAAGCCAACACTACAAAAGTCAAATTCCCTCCTCAGTTTCCTATCACTGTTGTCACAGCCTCTGAGGTCCAAGCCACCAAATTCTCCCAAGGTGCTCAGATTGAAACCATGACAAACAGCTTGTCACTAGGGGCCAAATGGTAGTACAGTGGTAAAACATGATGCTTTACAAGGCTGACTCACATGTGAGGGTTCCAGCTTCACCCCCAGAGATCTCTCTCAGTACGCAGCATCAAGTCCATAGTCCCTGTTGAGTAAATGGTCTCTCAGTCTCTCTCTTTCTCTCTCTCTTAGTCATGGAAAAAAATTATATATATATATATATATATATATACATATATATATATATATATATATATATATATATATGTATACACACACACACACACACACACATATACATATATGTATGGCATGCCACTGGATCTGTACTTACTACAAGACAAATTCTGTAAGAGGCTGCGCCTGTATAATGGCAAGACATTTAGAAATGGCAAACATTGGGGGAATATCGTGACCTATGCTCCTAATCAGTGTTTGCAATACTCTGCCTTGGAGGTGTGCTTTCTAAAATGTATAGCATGAACTACAAGATTGTGGCTCAGAAACGGCTTTCTTTCCTTAATGAGAGGAAAGGAAAAATGTTAATACTTTAAGTGATGTAAATTTATCTTCATCTATAATAAGCTTCAACTGATTTATTCTGCCTTAATAAGTAAAAATGGTCATGAGTTCTCCAAACTGATAACCCCTTCCCACACACCACAACACATACAGACCTTTTTAAGTGATCTCTTTCACTTTACAAATGCTGTTAAAATGTTTATAGTTCTTGAGAACTACAGAATGAGCCAGGATTATAAATATATATCAATATGCAGATGCTCTATCTAATGTTCCTTATCTCGGTTGTATTTCCAAAGTTGTGTAAGATAACCTTTGAGGCTTTCAATAACACCTCCTCACACCTCAGGGGGCAAATTACCTCTATTTTCATTTCCTTTAAAGTTAGATCATTTTATAATTAAGTACTTATTGAAGCAGATTCTCCCCATGTGTAAGCTACTCCCTGGGGAGTAATTTATGCAAAGAGAACCTCTGACTTAATATCATAAAGCTGAAAACTATACAATGGATACCTGGGACCTTTAGTCAATTTGTAGTAACTATAAACCATTCACTGTTTGAAAGGTTACCACACGTGCACACACACACGCCCACACACACAAATTTAGTACAAATAATATGTAGCATCATTTATTCGATGTTTTAAAATGACAAGATCTTTACTAAAGGAATAACAATGTGGCTTGATGTATTTTTTTGTCCAAAAGTTTTAGAAAAACCAGTCAACAAAGTGATGATGATGATGATGATTATAATGATGAAGACTGACATTTTGTAGCTCTTTACTCTTTAAAAGACAGTTCTCCACAAAATATTCATTTAATCTCCACAACACTATGGAGTTTGTCAGCTAAGTTTGATAAGCCAGCAAATGTAATAAGAAAAGTCTTTTTATCTTGACCACAGCACCAAGCATTAACAGAGTAAAAACTGAAACAGAAGAACGGGATAGAACGACGTCCAATCTTATATTTTCACCATCACAAAATCCTGACAACAAATAGTAATTCATGTGATCTGAAAGCTAAAAGAAACAAGAAAATAGAAATTTGTAGTCTAATATATGTTTTTAGGTGACTTTGTGTCTTCTGACTTTTTGTCCTCACATTCTATCTGAGTAACACGGCAATTCTAAAGTGTATTCTTATTTTCTCTTTGAGAAAGTCAGAGAATGGGTCACTGAATGAAACATTGGGAAATTTACTAGTTTCTGGTTTACACTTCCCAAGTCAACTCAAAAGCATCATTAACAGCCTGAATTCTCAATTTTCTCATATTAAAAATAGAGACATGATACTGATGTTTTTTTCTTACAAAGAGGATTTATGGCTACCACTCTAAATCTAAATATTGCCTTTTTTAAAAATATAAAACAGAAAGAAAAAGAGAATGATGTCTTATATTTGTTTGTTCTGAATTTTCAAGAGAGAGAAACTATAGAAAGCATCCAAGTGGCATATTGATGTACAAAGCATTTTGAAGTATATTTTGCATAATTATTTTGAATTGGGAGAGGAAATAACAGATCTTCTCAGTGCATATAATTTTAACAACTCTTACAACACTACCAGCAACGTAGGAATTACTACATTCTAAATAAATTTTATTTCATGGATTTATCTATAACTTCTATGCGGACTTAAAATTATCTTGCTAAGAGGAGTTCTCTATAGGTGCCTATAAGACATCACACCAAATTGCACATACACAAAATAGAAATCTCATGTCCTACCCAAGTCCACTAAGTAGTTCCTAAAGAGATGTCCCAAGTTTTGTCCAGTCTGCTACTTTATCTCACCCTTAAGGCTATGAAGTTTTACTTGCACAGTATAATCTGGTTTCTGCCTTTGAACTATCTATGTATTGCTTCTTCTCCATTTATTCTACCACCAATGTAATCTATGCTTCCATCTTCTTCTTCTTCTTCTTTTTTTTTTTTTTTTTGAGAGGTTTTTGTTATAGGGCACATGTGCTTGCCAGAAAGACAGAGAGACAGAAAGCAAGAAATCACCCCCCAGGGGGGATGGCCACACCACAATCCCTTTTCCTCCATTCTCTTCTTAGGATCTTGGGCATACACGCACAAGTGCCTGATGTGAGTTTAAGCCACCGGGTCCGGGACTCGAACCATGGTAAACTACATGGGAGTTTAGTGACATAGCTATTACATTAACTGCTGGTCCCTGTGCTTCCTTCTTCTAACACCCAGGTTCAGTTGGTATCAGTCCATTATAATGTTGCTAGTAGAAATAACTGAGACTGGATGATTTATATAGAGATTTATTTGGCTTATGATTCTGGTGGCTGAAAGGTCCAAATGCATGGTGCTGACATCAGGCCTACTACACCACAATATGGCCAACCAAACAAAGAAGATGTAAGACACATGCAGAAAGAGAGACCTGAGGGAAGCCATCTTCCTTTTATAACAATTCATTCTCACTGGAACTAGCTCCTTCTCACAAAAGCTGGAACTCACTCAATCTTTCAAGAAAGTACGATTCTATTCATTAGGACTATGTATCCATGATCCAGTGTATTGTCACCCACCTCTCAAAGTTCTAACAATCTGGGGCCAGTAGATGGCATTGTAGTTAAGTCGATTAACTTCCACATGGCTGATCATGGTCCGAGTACTGGACCTGGTGGCTTGAAATCCACACCTTGCACATGTGCACGCATGCCCAATATCCCAGGAGGAGAATGGAGAAGAAGGGATTGTGGCATGGTCATCCCCCTCAGGGGGTGATTTCTCGCTTTCACTTTCCCTCTCACTGTGTCTGTCTCTCCAGTGAGTGCACACATCCTAAGGCGAAAACCTGTAAAAGGATCTCACAGTCTCCCAATGCCAAATTCCAAAACATGAACCACTGGGAGACAAACTATTATCCAAATCATAGCAGTTGGTCTTCTGGTTACTGGTTATTGTGCTAAACACACCTTTCTAAAGTACCCAAACCACCACTTTCATTATTTCTTTACCCTGTTCACTTTGTTGACTCCATATGCCAATTGAAGTCATGTAAATACTCCTCTGCCTAAACCCAAGAGCTTCATAATCTGGCATCATCCTTCTATCTAAACATATGACACAAATTTTTACTATAGCCATGTTGCTGTTTCAATGATCACAAGCTGCAACCATTCCAAATCTCCGATCTTTTTTCACTCAGCTCTGCTTTTAGAAATGCCCTTTGCCTTTCCCTTGAACCTAATTGAATCCTACACAATCTTCAGAATCAACAGAAATGACATCTCTAGTGAAACTATTTCTGCTCCTACTGAATTCATACTAGTAAACTCATAAATTACCCTTTTCTTTTGATTTCTCCATGTATTCATTTTGTTTTATCAATTAAATTATTATAATATGAGCATATCTTTTGTGTCAAAAGCCTTCATGATCTTATGGACTATATAAAGTGTAATACATTGATATCGGGCTGACTCACTACTGGCATTTTAACAAGTGGACATCAAGCTCCATGATGTATAAAGTCACCAAACTTCGCCCCTCCCTGTTTTTGCTTTATTTATTTAAAATATTTTTGAGAAAAAGTTCATGTTGCATGTTCTCAGTGACTTAGTGTTTCAAGTATAAAATAAGAAAACTAAAGTAATAGTTCAAGAGATTTTGAGTTGCACTGTATGAAGATCAAGTTTAAACAACAACAACAAAAAAAAAAAGCAGTGAAAACAAGAACTTGGAAAATGTATGGTCCTTGCATATGTGTGTGTGTGTGTGTGTGTGTGTGTGTGTGTGTGTATAAAGTTAGTCTGAAAGCAGCAAAGCAAAAATAGTAGCTGTGTGTCTTTTTAGTTAGAAGAAGCTTACGATGGACATTTAATAGTAAATGAATGATGCCCATGCCATCATCCCACCTCAGCATCCTTAAACACAACCATCATGGCAGGGATAAGTGAAGAGGAAGTTAGAAAGGGTGAAAGGAAGAAGACAACTTTGCAAGCTCAAAATGTCTGTTTTCATTTTTCAGCACAAATTGAAGTGATACCATGCAAAATTTGTGGCGATAAATCCTCCGGGATCCACTACGGAGTCATCACGTGTGAAGGCTGCAAGGTATGGGGCTGTCACACTGCATTGTTTCTTATTTGCCTCGGGCATCTGTGCACAGCACAATGCACGTGATGGCACCTTTTCAAAGAAGGCCTGCTAAAGAATTCTTGTGCCTGCTGCTGACTCTCAGGAATTCTTGCTTGGTGGGTGGGATGAGTTTCTATTCTTTTGCATTTTGCCTTTTTAAAATGTTTTTATTGTCCAACTGGCCAGCAGCTTTTTCAAAATGTATTCCTATTTAAAGGTTTGAATTATTCATATTTACAGGATGTAAATACCAAATCTTATTGTTTTAGCCCATTTGTCTCTAGGAAACTCCAGGCCGATTATGACTAAATGAAAGAATTAAAGGTTAAAAGAACTATTACAAACTGATGGGCATAGTTTATCTATTTGCATGGAAAAGAAGAAACCAAGGTTATGGTTATAAGAGACACATGGTCATCCTCTATTCCCACATTCCAGAGAAAGAAGAAGAAAAAACATGGACTAGATCATCTCTAAATCAATGAAAAACCATCTGCTCCAATTTCATTTTTCGATGAGGTCCTGGGTTTGGACATATATTATTTGACCAATGTCACTAGTCCATATAGTGAAGAGCATGGGTAAAAACACGGATTTCCTATTCTCAGTTCATCATTCTCCTTCCACATAAATTCCCCCAACTCTTTCAGTGACAAATTGCTGAGAGCAAGTTGCTTCTAAAACACAGAGCTGGGAAAATAGCTGTTAGCATAGACCTAATCCAAAAATAAGAGAACTGTGAAGTTTAACACCAAGTTTAATAAACTAGTCCTCAGAAGGAAAGAAAACATGAGAGACCAAATAGCAAGGGGAAACTGAAACGGTTTTTTGAGTAACTTTAAAGAGCCATTCAGAACAATAGAAATGCAGCTACAGTCTGAGAGTGGAAAAGGCAATACGCTGGCAAAGTTATTGGCAAAAGCAAGTATATTTTTATCAAAGATGCCAGCAATATTTATCACTAATTTAAGGTCTACAAACTGAGGGAGATCTTGTATAGTCATAGACACAAGGTCCCATTTTAATCTCAAGGGGTTTTCAAACAAAAACAAGAACAGCATATGTAACTATCAAATAATGTGTGCTATGTGAAAGATGATCACGTCTTCATGATAGCCTCAAAAAAGTATGATTCTTGGAATTGAACGCAGAGAGAAGAAAAGAAAAAGAAAGAAATGAAAATAAAGTGGGAGAGGGAGAGGTACAAGGGAGACTAGTATTAATGTACTCACTTGTCAACACACTGATCTGCTTTAGAGATGATTAATGATAATCCACACAAGAACATCATGAGATGTCCCTTGCAATCTCATCCTGTACAGACTTGTAATTAGGAACTTAATGTTATCTCCCTTAATGCAATTTCTCACAACTCATCAAGAAGAAACAATAATGCAAAATTTCGTCAGTAATTTTTAACCCTCTTTGACTAAGTGATGACTTTCTTAGGCAGGTAGACAAATATAGTTTCTTCATAAACACTAATAATTTTGGAATTGACACCCAGTGCACTGAAAGCTTTTAGAGCCCTGATCTAATTTACATAATAGCCATTAAAAATGTTTCTTAGATCAACGTCAACGTGGAGACATTTGGTGTTCCATTGTATAAGCCCTATTTGGAAATATCTAATTTTAAAATATGAGAATATACTCATGCTAAGGGAACAAAATGTTTTAAACAATAATTTCCAAAAGATCTAACTACTGGACAAATAAACTTCAGCAAATTAATAGCCAGAAACAATTCTTTAGGTTCTTGTCACCTTTTGTACTGAATCCACAATCAAAGAAATTATACTGTTATTACGAAGGATACTCAGATTTTAGTCAAAATAACATTGTACACCACACTATTTTTTTTTCATTTCACAGAAAAACTACATTGGTAAATATGCTACATTTTTCTCCAAATAGAAGACTCAACATACTCTGTTCAGAACTAGATGTCCATATCAGTACATTCTGTATTGACCGCTGAGGTTTCCTAATAGCATTTTTGAGTCAATAGACACAACCCATTTTAGGGACCAGCAGTTGGCGTAATGGCTATGTCGCTGGACTCCCACGTAGTCGACTGCAGTTTCAGTCCCAGACCCGGTTGCTTAAACTCAAGTCGGGCATGTGTGCATGCATGCCCAAGATCCTGAGAGGAGAATAGAGAAGAAGAGATTGTGGAGTGGCCATCCCCCCTACGGGTGATTTCTTGCTTTCTGTCTCTCTCTCTCTGCCTTTCTGGTGAGCACACATGCCCTATAGCAAAAACCTCTCCAAAAAAAAATAGACAACCCATTTTAAATAATATCGCTTCAACTCATACACTTACTGAAATTTCCATTCATTCTGTAAAATTTGAAACAGAAATCTCTTTATACCAAAACCCTCATTTGTAATAATGAGCAACAGATAACCAAGAAATGCCTTATAATTAATGTCAAATCGCCCTTAAATTAGGACCGTAGCTATGACTTCAGAAAAGTCTTCTCTTTTGCTAAGTGGCACTAGAGTATTCAGAGACTAAAAATCACACAATTCTTTCCTAAAATGTAGATTTCAAGTCATTTTTAATCAAGACTGATGAGCTGAGGTTATGCTTTCTGACAGTTTCTATGGTATATCAAGTACATCATTTCAATCTCTAGGAGTTTATGTGAGATAGGCTTAAAAGGTTTCATGCATTCGGTCAAACTAGACAATCAGGCGTCTTATTGTGCCATAGCTAGTTAGTAAATAAATAATACACATGAATATATGGAAATGAAGCTAGTTCTTATAGAATGCCTTTGGGCTTACAACCATGAAACCAATATGGGGGCTTTATCTAAGGAGAGATTTGGGCTGTATTCCATTTCTGAGGATCCTCAGAGGTTGGCCAAGGTCTCATCCCAGTGCCATGAGGAGCCATATTGGAGCCCAATACAAAAGGAAAATCAATAATATTAATCCTGTTTTTTCTTTAAACTTCGGGGTTTGAGAAATTTTTTTACATTAATGTTGATTTTTAATGTACTATATTAAAACATGATTTATCCTGATTACCAAATTTTTTGGTGACCTTTAAATTTTGTGGCCAAGATGATGCCCTCAATTTATTTATTTATTTATTTATTTATTTATTTATTTTGGAGAGGCCTTTGCTATAGGGCACATGCACTTGACAGAAAGACAGAGAGACAGAGACAGAAAGCGAGAAATCATCCCCCAGGGGGGATGGCCACGCTGCAATCCCTTCTCCTCTATTCTCCTCTCGGGATCTTGGGCACACACGCACATGCACCTGGCATCAGTTTAAGCCACCTGGTCTGGGACTTGAACTGTAGTCGACTACGTGGGAGTCCAGCAACATGGCCATTACGCTAACTACTGGTCCCTCGATGATGGCCTCATGAATACCACATAGTCCCAGGCCTGCTTTCTCCTCCTGTGGAGAGTTGAAAAAATACAAGAGGCATTTGAGAAAAGCCCGGGACCTATTATCCCAGGTATTTCAGCAAGATGGGCATAGCACTGACCCTCCCTGAATTTTTTCAGGCTTTTTCAGGCTTCCTCATTCCATAGGTCATCTCTTCCTAAGATTTCCCTCGGTAAGTCTATCATAGACCACCACTTCGTTCAGGGACTTTGTAACTTTGCTGTTCTGCTCTAGGCAATCCAAGAACAAAGAGTGATCAGGGAAACTGATCATAGGTAAGTGAGTGGATGAGTGAGAACTTTCATATCTCTAGGGAAACTGCTATTTTCCCCAAAAGAGTTTTTGATAAGATAACTGAGGAAGGATAGTATCCAAAGAATTTTTCTTAAATAAACCCAACTGTGGGTTTATATAGAGAGGTGATATATGGTCCTTAGCGCTAACTGCTAAGAGAAACACTTCCCTAAATGAATACCTCCTATACTGAAGTAGCCTGAGGCCAAAGAGAGGCCATTCTTTCGATTTTTACTTATTATTTCTTTTTTATTGAGCTGATTATATTTTTCCCCTTTATTCCCAAATGTGATTGATTATAAGGTACATCCCTGGTTTAAAAAAAAAAAAAAAAAAAAAAAAACCTTTCAAATTGATTATGGCCAAATTTAAATTTTTTTTTGGTCAAATGAGGGGAAAATGCATCTTAGAAAGTAGGAGAACATGGGGCCGGCAGGTGGCATGGTGATTAAGGATGCTGGACCCCCACGTGGCTGACCACAGTTCGAGTCCCGGACATGGCAGCTTACTTTCTCACTTTCTCTCTTTCTCACTTGCTCCCTTGCTCTCTCCCTTTCTGGCCAAATTATAAATAAAATAAATACATAAAGTTAAATAAAATAGTTCTGAAAAAAAGAAAAAGAAAAGAAACCAGGAGAACAGTAGCGCATCCTGTTTAGTAGTACACTCCTCAGCGCCATTGCTGCCGATATCTCGAATTCCACACCCCACAGCATTTGACACAAACCTGTGTTATTGTGCCCTTCAGTTTTATCATCTGTGATTTATCAGTGACATTCCCCTTTGCCCCTCCTTCCTCTCATTCTTTGGAGGCAGAAACTCTGTTCCTTTTTCTTCTCATAGAGTATGACAGCTCCCAAACGTCTTTAGCAAACCTTATTCAAATGAGGGGCTGAATGAATGAATTATTCTGTTGTAGCTCTGCAGATAGTACATAGTTCCCTCAGTAGAAACATCTGTAAGCTATCCAACAAGAAGTATCCAAAGATTTTTAAAAACTAAACTCACTTCTGTTCACCGTAGAAAATGTAGCAACTGTTTATGATAATGGTCTCTGTTTCCTGTCTTATAAATCTATTACCTCCTTTTCTCTTTTCCCTCTAGGGATTCTTCAGGAGGAGCCAGCAGAACAATGCCTCTTACTCCTGCCCAAGGCAGAGAAACTGTTTAATTGACAGAACTAACAGAAACCGTTGCCAACACTGCCGACTGCAGAAGTGTCTCGCCCTAGGAATGTCGAGAGATGGTAAGACACCATCTCCCCAGCTCTTACTCTAGGGCTTTCAAAGGGATATGTTCTTGGAGTCTATTTAAGCTGCTGAAAAAATTCTAAGTAAAGGAGATAGGAATGAAAAGAAAAGAAACACTCATGGTGTTAGCTAGTAGAATTAAGAGGGGAAGTAAGAACATGAACGTATGGTATTGTCTATGAACTAAGGAAGAAGGAAAGACTTTGCCGTGGCTCCTGGAGCAGCCTGTGCTAACTAGGTTAAGTTAAAGTCACATAGGCCTGGGATGATGGGGGCTACCAGTCTGGGTTTGCTGGCAAATGAGAAGTTTTCTGGCATATAAGACTTTCAGAGTTCTAAAACCAAACAGTCCGAGGCAAACTAAGATTAGTTAGTCACTGGGTAGGTCTGACTGAAGCATGGTCGCTTGGTAGATGGCAATGCTAAGAAACAGAATATAATTCTAGAGGGAAGCCCGGAAGCTCTGCTGGTTGGTCCAGATAAGGATTTGGACTGCCTGCGCCATGATGCATAATGTAAAGGCTGTACTAGAAGTCAAGGTCTTAGGAGGGTGGTGTAGGCGGTGTTCTACTTGGATATGATACTAGTGTGTGTTTCACCCTCACACCCAACCATACCGAGTGACTTGACTCCCCAACTGAACATCTTATATTCATGGAAAACCACAAATACGCAGATGAACGAGGAATTTCACCTAGAATTTCTTCTATTTTTAAGTATTCATGCACATTAATTCTTTCCCTGCTGACTTGGCCTCAGCACCCCTGCCTATGATTGCAAATGGTCCTGAGGCTTGAGTTTCTCTCTGTTCCCACTTGGTCCTCAGAATCTGGTTAACAGCATGCACCTACATGTTTGTTGAATGAATCATGGAATTCCCTTGTATCGAGAGCTTAAGAGATAGACAATGTCCCTGATACTTACCCTTTTTATGTGAATCACTGTGGATTCTGTACCTCTGATCACACTCCCTCTAATGAAATTCAAGGCTGTGTGTGAAGGAGGCTGGGAAGGAGGGACAGAAAATTACTAGTTAATTGGTATGTTCTTCCCCATAGTATATAGGGGTTTTGTGAATCAGTAGACCACAGTTCGAGTCCCGGACATGGCAGCTTACTTTCTCACTTTCTCTCTTTCTCACTTGCTCCCTTGCTCTCTCCCTTTCTGGCCAAATTATAAATAAAATAAATACATAAAGTTAAATAAAATAGTTCTGAAAAAAAGAAAAAGAAAAGAAACCAGGAGAACAGTAGCGCATCCTGTTTAGTAGTACACTCCTCAGCGCCATTGCTGCCGATATCTCGAATTCCACACCCCACAGCATTTGACACAAACCTGTGTTATTGTGCCCTTCAGTTTTATCATCTGTGATTTATCAGTGACATTCCCCTTTGCCCCTCCTTCCTCTCATTCTTTGGAGGCAGAAACTCTGTTCCTTTTTCTTCTCATAGAGTATGACAGCTCCCAAACGTCTTTAGCAAACCTTATTCAAATGAGGGGCTGAATGAATGAATTATTCTGTTGTAGCTCTGCAGATAGTACATAGTTCCCTCAGTAGAAACATCTGTAAGCTATCCAACAAGAAGTATCCAAAGATTTTTAAAAACTAAACTCACTTCTGTTCACCGTAGAAAATGTAGCAACTGTTTATGATAATGGTCTCTGTTTCCTGTCTTATAAATCTATTACCTCCTTTTCTCTTTTCCCTCTAGGGATTCTTCAGGAGGAGCCAGCAGAACAATGCCTCTTACTCCTGCCCAAGGCAGAGAAACTGTTTAATTGACAGAACTAACAGAAACCGTTGCCAACACTGCCGACTGCAGAAGTGTCTCGCCCTAGGAATGTCGAGAGATGGTAAGACACCATCTCCCCAGCTCTTACTCTAGGGCTTTCAAAGGGATATGTTCTTGGAGTCTATTTAAGCTGCTGAAAAAATTCTAAGTAAAGGAGATAGGAATGAAAAGAAAAGAAACACTCATGGTGTTAGCTAGTAGAATTAAGAGGGGAAGTAAGAACATGAACGTATGGTATTGTCTATGAACTAAGGAAGAAGGAAAGACTTTGCCGTGGCTCCTGGAGCAGCCTGTGCTAACTAGGTTAAGTTAAAGTCACATAGGCCTGGGATGATGGGGGCTACCAGTCTGGGTTTGCTGGCAAATGAGAAGTTTTCTGGCATATAAGACTTTCAGAGTTCTAAAACCAAACAGTCCGAGGCAAACTAAGATTAGTTAGTCACTGGGTAGGTCTGACTGAAGCATGGTCGCTTGGTAGATGGCAATGCTAAGAAACAGAATATAATTCTAGAGGGAAGCCCGGAAGCTCTGCTGGTTGGTCCAGATAAGGATTTGGACTGCCTGCGCCATGATGCATAATGTAAAGGCTGTACTAGAAGTCAAGGTCTTAGGAGGGTGGTGTAGGCGGTGTTCTACTTGGATATGATACTAGTGTGTGTTTCACCCTCACACCCAACCATACCGAGTGACTTGACTCCCCAACTGAACATCTTATATTCATGGAAAACCACAAATACGCAGATGAACGAGGAATTTCACCTAGAATTTCTTCTATTTTTAAGTATTCATGCACATTAATTCTTTCCCTTTTTTTACTGACTTGGCCTCAGCACCCCTGCCTATGATTGCAAATGGTCCTGAGGCTTGAGTTTCTCTCTGTTCCCACTTGGTCCTCAGAATCTGGTTAACAGCATGCACCTACATGTTTGTTGAATGAATCATGGAATTCCCTTGTATCGAGAGCTTAAGAGATAGACAATGTCCCTGATACTTACCCTTTTTATGTGAATCACTGTGGATTCTGTACCTCTGATCACACTCCCTCTAATGAAATTCAAGGCTGTGTGTGAAGGAGGCTGGGAAGGAGGGACAGAAAATTACTAGTTAATTGGTATGTTCTTCCCCATAGTATATAGGGGTTTTGTGAATCAGTAGATTATCTGCCTTTCTTCTATTTCTAACTCACCTAAAATTGTCTTGCCCAAAAGTACAGCTGTAAGACAAATTTGAACAGAAAATAAAAAGAATCTGACTTTGGGAGTCCTTCAGTTTATAGTTACTTCTCAAGCTGTAGAGGAAGTTTCCAAAACTTTCCTATTAACAAATTGATTCTTTGTTTTATTTGTTTTTCTGGGCTTACTTGCCTCATAAATTTTCAGCACTGTGTACTTCTGCATAACTGAGGCAAAGAAAGTAGGGGGAGAAAGTAAAATGTTTTTCAGGATTTATTTAATGAAATTGTATGCAAATTCGCATGGATGATTTTCCACTTCATTTCTACCATATGGAGACCGCAGATTAATTGGTGATACCTCTTTGTTAAGAATTATTTATTTAATTTTATTTATTATTATTTATTATTATTATTATTGTTATTATTATTATTTTGCCATAGGCCACATGCACTTACCAGAGAGAGAAGGAAAGTGAGAAAGCAAGCTGCCAGGTGGGGAACTCGAACCACAGTAAGCCATGTAGGAGTCTAGCACTTTGACCACAATGCCACTTGCTGGCCCCAGTTGACAATATCTTAAAAGCCTCATTAATAATTGTACAAAGAGTAAGCCATCAGGTGTTTATATTTCCTATAGCAAAAGGCAGTCTCTATTCTGGAAAGGCAAGTCTTAGGGCCTGTGTTGGCCAACAGAGTCCAGGGCAAGGGATCAGTATATAATCCATGGCAGATTCAATGACATCACCTCCAAAATCTAGGAGCTTGTCTGACTTCTGTGACATAAAAGAAATGTCTTAGGAGTGTGGGCGGGTCACTTAATGGAGATAGCAACATTCTGTTTTCAAGGGGGAAGAAATTCACTGCAGCATATAAACTTCTATGCAAATAAAAGCAATATAATATGCAAGGCGCTGAAGATTAACTTTAAATCCAGAGACAATCTTGAGTCTGTCAGGGACACCCATAATGCCTCCCAAGAACATATTATGTCAAACTAATAACAAGGAGAAATAATCAGGGTAGGTATGGTGATTGGAATGCGTAGAAAGAAGGGCTCAAGTAGAAGTGAAACCAGGTTCTTCAAAAGAAAAAAGGCTTCTTCTTTACTGTTTTATGGAGGAAGCTGGTTTGAACCTTGATTAGAATGGATACTTTATACCAAATAAATCATACAAATACCAAGAAAACCAAACAGATCATCTATTGATAAGAAATACCAATATGTGGTATCAAGGATTCAAAAGCCCTGAGGTTATGGTCAATTACCTCTGATAAGCAATCTAGAATAAGAGGTGGGGTCTCTTGCCCCTTATTTGTCATTGCTGCCTTCTTCTGAAGAAGCAAATGCTTTCAAATTGCTTTAAGCAAGGTAGGATGCCCTCTCACACAACTTCTTTCTACAACCTTCCACTTTCCCTCAGAGATAAAGTGGCATCTTCGTTTTGGTATATGTATGTGCTGTCAGTTGTGTGTAGCTCCAAGGATCATTACTCTACCATATCTGATCCCAAAAAATTTGGTGACTAGCAAATAGCTTAGCATAGCACTGGATTTTCATTCTCCCCTGAACTTCTGTGAGTCTTCTGACTGGCAGAGAGTCACCTGAAGCACCCATGGAATAACTACTCAAGACACAGAGATCTAAGGCAAGAGGAAGAGGCCATACCAGATAGGCGCCTGCTAAGTCTCTCCCATCCTCTGTATTATTAGGGCAAAGGAAGAAGAAAAGTTATTTTTTTGAGAATCAGAAAAATAGAGAGATTTCCAGAACAGGCTGTTTGTGGTATTGATGAGGGGAGGTAAGACTAAATGACACCAGAGGCTGGACAGAACACCTTGGAATCTGGAAAAATCCATTTGTCAGATCACACACCTGTCTAACGGCCTCCTGTTATATGCAAACAGGAAGATAGGTTTCAGCCTCCTGTTGTTTGCAAGTGTGAAGGCTACATTCATTCCCTGAGCTTGAATTCATTCATTCATCCAGAGTCCATAGATTCATAGTGTTCTAAAAACATGGTGTTTTTTG